GCGACAAGTAGCCCAGGGCCCCCAACAGGGCGACAAGTAGCCCAACAGGGCGACAAGTAGCCCAACAGGGCCAAGTAGCCCAACAGGGCGACAAGTAGCAGCCAAGTAGCAACAGGGCGACAAGTAGCAACAGGGCCAAGTAGCCCAACAGGGCGACAAGTAGCCCAGCCCAACAGGGCGACAAGTAGCCCAACAGGGCGACAAGTAGCCCAACAGGGCGACAAGTAGCCCAGCCCAACAGGGCGACAAGTAGCCCAACAGGGCGACAAGTAGCCCAACAGGGCGACAAGTAGCCCAACAGGGCGACAAGTAGCCCAACAGGGCGACAAGTAGCCCAACAGGGCGACAAGTAGCCCAACAGGGCAACAAGGACGAGGAGCCGACAGACGTTCCAATAATGCGGGAAGTAGCGAAAAACCTTCCCGTACCCTCGAGAACACAGAAGCCAACACTAGTCCCGAAGGCACGCGAAGGCGCAGGCGCACCCGAGATCAGAAGTCACGCAGAACCCCATCGAACGGGGAAACATGACGAAAACACCGTCCCAAAAAGGGGTGGGAGGAAACATCCACCCACAGGACGGAACCAACCGACTCAAAGGCCAAGGAACCGAGCCCGGGGAGGGGCCAACGCCCAACAGCACGTACGGCGAGTGGGGAGGAAAGACCCCACTCCGAGTAACCACAAGCCCCGCCTAGAGGGGGATAAAAAAAACCCATGGGGCCCAACGGGGCCAAGGCCCCCCAAGTCAGCCCCTCCCCAGCCCCGGGAACCTACACGACAGGCCCCGGGGCCGAGCCGTTCCCCCAAAGCCCCGGCCGTACCAGAAAACCGGGGCAGCCGTGAAAACACTAAGGAAGGGAACCCACTGGCAGACTCATACAACACGGCTGGAGGAACAGGCTCAAATGCCCCCGTCACTACCCCGGAAGGGGAATTCCCCGAGACTGCCCGAGTCTCAACACCATCAAAAACCCCGCCCCGAACCTACAGACGGTAAGGAACCGGATGCAGGCAGGAAGGGTGAACCAGGGGAAAGACAAGGGGGGCGTGGAAGGAACCGAAGCAACCAACACCCCCAAGTCCCAAAACGAACTACAACGGGGCAGCCCCGGGGCTCCTGGGGAGGAAACTACGAGAACGTTGCCACCACCAAGGCTCAAGTGCAACGCCCCTGCTGCCCGCACCCGCTTTGTTAGCACAACAGGGTAACCGAGCCCCAACGAGCAACCAAACTCACAGGACTCTGGGTCGAAGGTGTCACCGACCCCACAGGCAGCAGACGAAGGCAAAACAGAGTCACCCAGAGACAAAGGGTGAGAGCAACCCTCAAACTCGCTGGAAGCGAGGGGGGGACTCTGGGGTCACATCCATCGGACCCACGCGCCCCCAGGGGTTTCCCAGGGTCCCGAGCGTTTACTATAAGAGGACTCGCGCTCAGGTAATCCCAGGCAGGGTACTGCTAACCGGCACCCAAAGCTACCAAACAACTTTCTAAGAGCTGAACCCCCGGGACGTGTACACTCACGGGGACCTAGCAGGGGGTACCACCAGAAAATACACAGAACACAAGGGACACAAGGGGCAAGAACGAAGGCAGACCCCCCCCCCCACCAGGTAGATAAACAAAAAGAAAAAGAAAACCCCGCAAGAGGACAGCGTACCCAAGCGGAACAGAGCCGGCCGCTATGATTGGTAAAGACAAGCTGCACAGTACCCTGCGCCCCACCAGTGCAAAAACTGCCCCTTACTCTAAGGCGAACAAGGGAGACAGAACACCCGAGCACACAAAGAGCGGCCGAAAACCAAGCAGTAAACGGCCAAGCAGGGGCAGGACCCAAGGAACTTGTGGAAGGTGGCCCCAAGCCCCAAGGGCAGTACTTACAGGGCACCTAGGGAAGGGAACCCTAGGCGCATGCAGCCCGAGTACTGGAGAATCACTCCCGGCTCACGCACCACCTAGAAAACAGACACCACACTCTAGGTACAGTGCTGAAACAACCACTGGAGCCGGAGCACATAACCGTTGCCTATAGCATCAGCCGAAGAACTGATGGGTGGATAGCCGGCGTGGGAGGTCTGGGGCTCCCCTTCCCCCTCCCGGGGAGGGGGGAGCTGCGCAGACAGCGGCGCGGTGACGTATGACGTCATGCTAGTTTCCTTGTTTTCTGTTGAAGAGTTCTATCCACTAGTTCGGCTTTAGGTAGCAATTTTCACCAGAATAGGGGTTTGTTTTGGAATGCTTACCTTTCTGGATGCTTGACCCGGTCGATGGCAGACATAGAATGCTTCCAACCACACGGGGGTTTCTATAGGCCATTGCTCCCCTTGCCTCTCTGAGGGGGCCAGGTTCTGGCTCGTGGTCCCCGGTAGGCCCTAGAACTCCATACACATGACTGATGCCAAAGTCTGACATTAGCATATCAGCCGGTAAAGCTCCGGGGAGCCGACGGGGCTCCCCCCAGAAAAAGTTTCAAAAACTGTTGGCATTCTTTCTAAGATCAGATATTATGTACCTCGCCCTGCCCTGGTGACACTATTACTCTCTCATCTATCCTTATCTCAACTATGGTATTTGTGCTTGGGGTTCTACTACCCAAAATAATTTACGTCCTTTAATTACTCAACACAAAGCTGCTATTAGGACAATATCTAACTCTGGCCCCAGACATCACTTGGTACCCTTACTCAAATCTCTGAATATGTTAGATATTAAGTCACTGCACATCCTCTCATGTGTATTTTATATATATAAAACGCTGAACTGTAATGTCAATCCTGACCTTAAAAGCTTCGTAGAAGGTTGTAACAGATCCCATGAGCACCACACCAGAAACAAATACTGTACCTATTTGATATTCCAAGAGTACGACTTAGTCAAACTAGAAATGCTTTACAAATCAAGGGACCTTGAATGTGGAATGACCTTCCCAATTATGTTAAAGACTGTACCTCTCCCAACCAGTTTAAGATAAAAACTAAGTACCACCTAATTAACTCAATGTAACCCACCTCACTCCTAAATGTCAACCCATGTCTACGATTTTAAACAATGCTGTTTGTTGACCAAATTGTATTTTTGCTTTTTTTTCTGCCATGTTTCCCCCCCCCCATTTTTTCATTTTTTTCTAGATTTTTTCTAAACACAATTTATACTTTATTCTAAGTTAGTATTAAGTTTTAGTCTTAAGTGTTTTTCCTGCCCGAAACACTTTGCGTAATAGTGGCTTTAGGCATTGTATGTACTAGCTCTATCTATAAATCCATCAACTTTTGTATTTCACCTTGTATGTATGTACTTTACCTGAATAAATATTTGTATTATTTGTATTTATATTTGTACTAAGTTGGTATGGGGAGTGCAGACAGTAACAGGTGGCCACACACAGCTGATGCTCCCTCTCTCTCTCACTGGTTCAAGGCCAGATGCACTAACATTCCTCCTTCAAGTATACTGTTTGTGGTGTTATTACACTATATACACACATTGTATATAAGTTTGTTTTGTATATAAAAACATGTTTTGTTCACCATAACTGTTCAACTAAGCTGGTATAGTGCCCAAAGAGCATAGTGGCCACCCTTACACAGCATGACAAGTTTTGCAGATGATGCCACGCCCTTCACCATAATGGCTTCTCCCAACACTTCTTTTGCTGTTATTACACTATATATACACATTATATATAAATATCTACATTTATGTTCACCACAGTGAACCACTAAGCTGGTATAGTAAGTGCAGACTGTAACAGGTGGCCACACAGATTCGGCAGACGACGCTACAGACCTCCCTCCCTCCCTCAACATTGCTCTTCCCACAGCTCAGTGGAAATTATCCCAACAATCCTGCTATTATCAGAATGCTGGTCATTTTTATCACAGTCAGAGGTCTTCTGTAGTACTATCATTGGTAAATAATACCAGTTACATATATTTCTGACATTTTTAGGCGATGCTGTGGTCACAAGCTGAACAGCAGTGTTGTAATCTCATGCTGCATGCACCAGCCTTGGTGGCTCACTCAGTACTGAGGTTTTCACACCCGGGAATGTTGCCCACAATTTTTTTTTTTAAATGGCGTCTGTTTACAAGAGCCCTGAGGAAGCTAATGTCAACCCCATGTAGCCACAGGCCGTTTAAATCTTGCACAGTACTCCAAAACGTCATATGAAATGTTGCGCAGTGTAAGGGTTAACAGGTTGACCTATCTCCAATACTATTAACAAGCAGCCTATCTCCTGCACTGTTAACAAGCAGCATATCTCCTGTCCTATTAACAGGTAGGCCTATCTCCTGTCCTATTAACAGGCCTATCTCCTCCCCTATTAACAGGTAGGCCTATCTCCTGCCCTATTAACAGGTAGGCCTATCTCCTGCCCTATTAACAGGTAGGCCTATCTCCTGCCCTATTAACAGGTAGGCCTATTGCCTGAACTACTATGTTTTGTTTAATGAACACTGTGGTCAAAGCCTAAAGTTCAAATTTACTACTCTACTTGTTAATGCATTAACTCCAATCCTTTTTAAGACATTTCACAGGCACTCTGCTTTCTTAACCAATAAACATACGAGTATTAGTCTTGTGTCTTGGCAAAATCTATATTATAGCACTTTGTTTCTTCATCTTTTTCAAATTTGAAAAGAGCCCTTCAGCAACCAATCAATGAACCTACAATATTTTAGCAATTCAAGTTTTATATTTAATATTTACTTTTGTCATAAACCTTCCTTATATTCATTACTGACCTCTTTTGTCAATATTTAGATGACAAAGTTTACATCACAAAAATTTTGAAACAAAAATATTACAACTCTTCAGAAGAACTGAAGTACAGTATGTTTTATACCAGTAAAAATCTATGTATGACAGAATTTGCCTCTATCTTAACTATGCATACAGTAATGACAAATGAAGTACTTCTCAGTCAGCAAATAGTTAAATGCAACCTTATTTACAATTGCTGGCAAAAAGCATATTCCTTACTAATAACCATATTTAAAGATAATTTTCACTATCTTTTAAAGCTCACCTGTGCATCTAAATCAGCTTTGTTGCCAATAAGGAAAATTACAGTATTAGGATTTGTAAGATTGCGTGCATCTGTCAACCAAGAACTAAGATGATTGTAGGTAGACCGCCTAGTGATGTCGTACACCATTAATGCTCCGGCAGCGCCCCGATAATATGATCTGAAAATATGAGAGAAAAATATATGCATATTGACAAAGTACAATATTATTATTTGCCAAGACTTGAGTTATCATGCAAGCTGAATTATGTAGTTGGGAGTAGTTAAGTCTTAGGCTAGGAACTGTAATTTATTAAGGTATTCAACACAGTGTATGAGGGTGTCTTTGTTTTGCCTGCATTATTAGCACGACCCAGAGACCACCACAAGGAGATAATAGAAAAGTAATTCCTCAAAAGGCAATGTTAAGAACTATTAGCTAATGAATGTTGTTCCATACATTCATGCTTATACTTAAATTAAAATGAGTTTGATGCAAATACTAAATTGCCATAATTTTTTTAGGTGTAGAAATTACCTTGTAAATTACCTTAGATCAGTTATGTCTATGAATGACTCGATAAAACCAGAGTTGACTGTAATGAAACGTTATTTTCTGAGTGAGCCTCGGAGGCTCCCTGAAGCTATCCAAACTGATATGTGCTAGATTAGTTTGGTGTCATCAGTCACAGGAGTTCTTATGCCTACCAGGAACCTCGAGCCAGAACTTGGTCCCCCCCCCAGAGGGGCACAGGGAGCAATGGCTCCCTGTGGAGGAGGTGCCCTGCAATGGCACAGGGAGCAATGACTAACTCTTCGAAGGGTCTGCGGGGTCTTTGAACGGTCTAATCCTTCTAACGGAAGGTTAGACCCCTTTTTTTTTGGTTAACCCTTAACATGCTTGGGGTTTAATATCCTGTCATCCCCACAGGCGCATGTCATTTTGAAAAAAAAAAAATTATTTTTTTTTCCTAACCTGTTAATTTGTGTTCACTGATCACGGGAAAAATAATAAAAAAATCGTAAGTGGCATATATTGCCCGCTATAGGGCGGGGAAGTCTGGCAAATTATAGGCGCTGACTCAGCATGCGTCCCAGGTGGTCTGTTGCTCGCCAGCTGTCAGGCCGGAGTTGCCACAAAGAGATAATTACCTAATTATTTCAATGTCTCTGATTGATTTTTCATAGTTTTTTTGCTGTAATATTATTCAATAGTGTGTAGTTTGATATATTTATATAATAAAATGAGTGAATCATTGCTGTACTCAAAAATATGGTGTGCATATTGTTGATTCAATTATGTTCATCAATCAGTGAACAAATACTTTGTCGGTTATTACACTATAAGCACAGGTTATATATAAGTATCTGCATGTTTTGTTCACTATAACGAACCACTAAGTAGCTATTATGAGTAAAAAAGTAACGAGGAGTGACCGCCGTGTACCAGCCAGCCACTCCTGCCCTCCCTCCAGTCATCTGACTCACCCACATTCTCCTCCCACAATAATGTTTTTGCTATAATTCACTATATACAGACGTTATATATAAGTATCTTCATGTTTTGTTCACCATAACTGTACATCTAAGCTTGTATGGTGAGTAAAGGCACAAAGACGTAGGACCTCACACAGTCAGCTGATGGCTGCCGCCCTCAAGGCCAGACGCACTAATATTTCTCCTCCAACAATACAGTGACAGCAGTGCTGTTAGCTCATGCTGCGTGCGTCAGGCTTGGTTGCTCACTCTATACTGAGGCCAATAACACCCGGAGTTTGGCCCACGATTTTTTTTTTAAATGGCGGCTGTTTACAAGAGCCCTGACGAAGGTGTGGTGAACCCCGTGTATCCGCGGGCCGTTTAAATCTTGCGTAGTACTCCAGCACATCATATGACGTGATGCGCAGTTGACTGGAACAACGTCCAACACGTCATATGACGTGATGCGCACTTTAAGGGTTAATGAACCAGAGCAGACAGTTACCCCACAGTATTCCAGGATACCTACTTTTGGTTCCAAGCTAAATCAGCACTCAGAATGCCCTGTACACAAATTTTCCACAAAGGAGGCTGATGATGATCTGTGATCTCAATTCAACCAATACAAGAACATATAATTTACACTATGTAAAATGCCTTTATTTGCTGAATGTGCTAAAACATTTGATATTTTAAATAAAAAAGACAAATTACCTACATATATGTTTAAAATAAAAACCACAACTATAAAAATGAAAGAATGTTGTTAAAGATATATCTTATATCTACAATAATACTGCACATACACCAGTGTTAAAACCCACCTTGTGACAGCTCTGAAACGTTCCTGGCCTGCTGTGTCCCATATCTGTAACTTAATTTTCTGACCTGCTACTTCAATGATTCGAGTACCAAATTCTACACCTATTGTGTGTGGGCAGTCTGCCATAACTGTGGGAAGAAATTAATCATATGATATATTTTATAATTAAAGAGGGATTAAATTTAATATATTTCAATAATGTGTAGACATATTTTGCTTAAAAAGATTTGACGTACGGTACAGTCGTCAATCACCAGTCACCTGCAGTCAAAACAAGGCACTGAATTACAGTTAATGCCCTATTCTGGTGGTTCCCAGAGTGGCTCCCTGAACTTAACTCTTGCACCACCTAGCCTTAGACCAAATTACTTTGCTTTTGATATGCATTCATCACCTACCAGAAGCCAGGACCAGAATCTAGCTCTCACAACAAAGAGCCAGGCAGGGAATCAGATCAACCACAAAACTGGGAAAATCCCACAAGAAAGCATAGGCACCACAAAATAAATACAGAACATTTGGGGGAAATTAAGCAACAGTAACTAAGGCAAACAATTGTTACAGCAGGATAAATACACTAACTATAATGTACTTGACCATCACCAGATGGCAGCCCAGGTTACTGAAGGTCTTGGCCACCCTGTCAAGTGTGGCCAAGGTCACTCTGGAACCACCCACAGAAATAATGCCCATAACCTAACACAAAAAAGTGAACAGGCCTGGAATGGCGAGCCACTGGGGGGCTCACCAGAAAGATATTACATTCAACTCGATTTCTGGGAGGGAACCTCACATGGGATCCCTCTCTTACTCAGGATAGACTGGACTGACCTATGGAAGATCATCACTAGAGGAAGGCCCCAGGAGAGAAAGAGGAGGAGAGAAAAAAAAAAAAAAAAAAAAAAAAAAAAAAAAAAAAAAAAAAAAAAAGCTGCACACCAAATTCCTAAGCAGATGGAGATCCACCCAATATGGTCTGAATTAGAGTTATTACTGTATAGCCACCATTTACCGAAAGTAAACAGCGTTGTTTGCCAGCCAGGAACAACTGTGGACATCTTCAGTAGAAAACTAGATAGTTTTTCAAGAAGTGTCGGGCCAACTGGGCTGTAGTTGATATGTGGTCCTGCAAGCCACTCCAAGCAACAGACTGTTGGACCAAGCTCTCACAAGTCAAGCCTGATCTCAGGCCAGGCTTGGGGAATAGAAGAACTCCCAGAACCCCCATCAAGCAGGTAAGCCAGAAAGACACTGGGAAGTGGAGAAGAACCCATTACCAAAGAACAGATCCAATTCAGATCTTGAAAGCCGTGCACAAGGCCCTATATCCATTATCCACTGGATGGAAGTCTGGCATGTTGGGTATCTCTGTAAAGCTCACATGGCAAGCAACAGTGATAAAATGGAGGCTACCGTATGTCCAGTGGGAAATTAGATATGGCAAATTAATCCACAATTAATTGTGCAATTAATAATAACTCCTGTGGCAATTAATCCTTTGCCACAGCAATGAGTCAGGGAGCACTCATATCCATGAGTACAGTCAGCACCTACTAGTTACACTCAATATAACAGCATTTAGCCAGAATCAGGATCACAAATATATTGTACTTAAAGCTGATCGAATGAGTGACAACGGTAGATACACTACAGCGAAACAGACTGGTATCGGTAAGCACTGATGATAGCGAGATGATCAGGATCATCTGCAAGTAGAAGCGCTTGTGAGTGAGTCAGTGACTGAGTGAAGTATGGGAAGTGTCACTGCCTAGTTACTTTGTGTGATTTTGCCTCAGACACCTGTCAGAGGAAAAATAATGTGACTGCCACCATCAGTATTACATTACTCAAATTTACTGCACACACATAGCAGCTGTCAACCACTAATGTCTGCTGCTCGCTTACCATACTACGTGACGCCACCATCTGCTCCACCTATGTGACATTTGCAGCAAGCAAAAAAGCAGAAGTACCAGCAGTTATTTGTTTCATCGATGATATTTGCAGTAAAAATTGGGTAGTAAAGTGGACCAGTGCAAAGCAATGATAGTTACAGTGGCACCTATGACATTATGAATGTGGCAGCCTACAGGGTAAAGCCACTTGTTTCTCCAATGACAAGAAACTGCAGTGAGGACCCAAGGTTCATGTGACACCACACTTTAGCTACAGTTATCAGTACACCGTGGGGGGACCCATGGTGACTCATCCTGTAGCAGGAGTCTAATCTGTGTGTTGGCCTGGTGTCATAGAGGGCTACAAGTTAGCTCCAGTAGCCCCCCTACGTACCTGGTTGCCAGAAAATGTAGATGCAGCATTCTATAAACCAGTATGTGGGTAAAGAGTGTGAAGAAAGAAGATAGCAGTGCAAGAGGTAGCAGATCACACCAGTGATCCCTAGTGACAGTGGAATTGAAGAGGGAGGAGGCAACACCAAGTTTTGCTTGCCTAATGAGGAGTGTGCCAAGACAAGGGCATGTGAATCAGTTGTGAAGACCTGGACACTTAATTGGTAGTAAATCTTACCCCTCCCTTTCCCCCTTTGAGTTAGCATGGTTCTGTGAGATGAGGTAAGAAGTATTTATTATTTTGAGGGTACACTGATTGTCTATGACTATAAATATTTATTCTGGCATTGAGACACTTGGAGAGTGCAAGAGTGATTCTTGTGCAATTTAGTAATTTTGTAAAAACTGATGTCGACTTTCAAAGCCTAGTACTGTACTGTAATGCTTAGAGGTTAAAAGGCTTGAGAGACTTTAGTGACTAACTTTAATATTGTTGTTTCAGTAATTGCAAATATTAAGTTATAAGCCTCATTAATTATTGCTTAATTTATGCTCATTTTGTTTCTAGCTTTATGATGCTCAAGTGAGTGCATCAAGTAACGTCTGGTTTCATCCAGTTATGAGCAGCCTAGCGGGCAAGTTTTCCATTGAGTACTGTATTTAAATATTTCCTTTGAAAGAGGCTCTGAGTTATAACCTATGCTGGTTGATTTTCATTCATTAAATGTGATTTTAAGAAGCACTGTTTCTGTAACTCCTCTGTTTTTCATTATTACTGGCCCAATACACGAGCCGAGTCTACAAATTTCACATACTGGTGTGTAAGATATGTAAAATGTAGGTGGGCGAGGCTAGACCAAGTATAACTTGCAGCTTACATCCGTGGCGGTGGGTCACTCTTGAGTGGTGTGTATCAATAGCAGACAAATAGGCCTTGTTCCAGAGAACCTGCCAAATCCCACAGTGCCACTGCCAACATTGTGCTGAGGCAAAGTGCCACAATAAATCTTCAAAAGTCTTTTGGAGTATTTAGCTTCTCCGGTTGTGGAGTTCTTGTTGGCCTACCAGGGACCACGAGCCAGAACTTGGTCCCCCTCAGAGAGGAGCAGGGGGGGGGGGCAGTAGCACTATGAAAAATTTAATGTAAATTTATTCATGTCTGCCACCACTAAGGAAAACCACCCAGAAAGACAACAATACAAAACAGACCACTACTTGGCTAAAAACAGACTGCAGCCTCAAAACGGCCACAATAACTCTCCCGACAATGTAAACAAATGATTGAAAATTGGTGAAACTAGCGCAAGCTAATTTCCCTTCTAGAAAGAAAAAAAATAGCTCCCACATGATGGATATAATGAAACAAAAGGTTTCAGCAACGTTCAAACACTGTACATTAGAATTGCAAGTTGAAATATGAAGGATATTTGAAAAACAAAAACAATTGGAATAACAATGTAGAATTTAAATTTTTAATTAGGTATTAAAAAGTTTAATTACTTTTTTCATATAGAAAACTGGAATTTGTGAATTTATTTTCTGATATTTACACAGTCTAAACAAAATACAGTACTATACTTACATTTCTTTTCTGTGAATTGGTGGAGAAGGCATGACTTGCCCACTCCCATATCCCCAATGATGATGTATTTGAAGATATATGAATAATTGTACGGACCCGCAGACATTGTAATCCTGAAACACGAGACATTTTTTCATATAATGACCAATGCCTAAATAACTACAAATTTTTATCTTTTATGACAAAGTTCAAACAGAAATTAATCTATTATACCGAAAATTGTTTTGTCGGGGACAGGAAACCTGTATACACATGTTTACTTTGGTCTTGTATTGAGGTACCCTAAAGGTTGAACTACAGATTATTCCCAGGATGCAACCCCACAACACTTGCCTAATTCCTGGGTAACTGTTTACCACTAGGTGAACAGAGGCCTTAGGTGAAAGACAACGTGCCCAACCATTTGTGTCCCACCTGGGAATCGATCCCAAGATCCCCAATTATGAGTCAAGAACAAAGCCAACTGTACTACGAGACCTTAACATGTGATGCACTATTATATAGATGCAAAATAACACTGCACTATACATGATATAACTCACTATGTGTCAGTATATCTCTATTATTTCAGCTACCAGTTATATATTCATTTGCATGCACAAGTTCTCTTCAATGAAGCTAATGAATTGACCAAGAACACTAAGAGGTTAATTACGAAAACTCAGCTAGTAGTTAATCTTTATGTTCATAGTACATGTATATGTACAACATATTTCATATATAGACACCAGCCCACAACACCAGCTAGTCATAAAAGCCGTGTTTCCAAACCAGACTACGCTGGTCAGATCCTAATCCCTAAACAATTCCTGTCTCTGGAAACTTCCCTTATCTCTCTCAAATTACTAGCCAAATTTGTTAGTCACTCATACACATACACCAACCTGTCCTCTTAAAAAGAACATCGCTTTTGGCCGTTTGCCTGTATGGCCGAATATGGACGTAATTTGAAAATGAAAATAAATTGAAAATAAATTTGGGATTTTTTTTTTCAACAACAGTAAGTTAAGGGTTCTCTGATAGGTTAGATGGGCAGGAAATTCTCATAAAGTTTCAAAACGTTATGAAAAACGTTAATTGAAAGTTCCTCTTTTAAGCTGTCCAAGGAAGGCCGGACGACTCAAACAGAAAACGGAACAGTACGTCACTTTTGCGAGTCGATTTCATTTCAAATTACGTCCAAATTTGGCCATAGTGCGCATACGAGCCAAAAGTGACATTATTTTTAAGAGGACGGGTTGCACACACATGCTACTCATGATACCCACTCATGTAATCCACCAACAAGGCAAGGTCTACACTGCTCCCCGAGGGTGTGTGTGTGTAGGCAACCAACTTGAACCTGTCGACCATCTGATTCCCTTAGCAACTCTCCTGAGGTAGCATGGCTCCTGGATCACCTTCCCAGTTTAGCTGACAAGTAGCACTGCTTACCGCTACTTGCTTAAGTCACCAACTCAATTCCCCAAAACCACACATGGTCACACACACATGTGCTCTGCACTCAACAAAACAAGCCCTCTGTGCATGTGCTCAAACCGTCCCAACTGCCACTTTTGGTCACCACCGGCGACACAAGGCCTCCTCTGACATCTGGCAGATGTTCTCTGAAGTGCCACCTGACAAATCAGTCACCTGGCTCACATGATCGGCGACAGTTTGACTAGTACAGACATCTGGCATCACAGATGTCTTCACCACCTGCTTCAAACACATAAATCCATATACACAACCACTTTCGTTCCCCCATACGTTTGAGAGAGAACTTTTTAATTTATTCATTATGCAACAATCCGGGTACAATAATACATAATGTAGAATAACATGTATTATACATGATGTAGAATAACACTGCATTATACATGATACAGAATAACACTGCATTATACATGATGTCGAATAACACTGCATTATACATGATACAGAATAACACTGCATTATACATGATGTCGAATAACACTGCATTATGTGTGGTGCAGAGTAACATTGCATTATACAGGTATATGATGTAGAATAACACTGCATTATATGTGATGTAGAGTAACACTGCATTATATGTGATGTAGAGTAACCCTGCATTCAACCCGTTCTCGCAAATTTAATAAGTCAATATTGACTTATTAACTACGTGCATAGGTGATATACTAAACATAATAGATACCCTTAAAAAGATTCATAGAAAACACCGACCTTACCTAACCTTGTTAGTATCTTAAGATAAGCATCTTATTGCTTCGTAATTACATTTATTACTTAACCTATACCTATTACAGGTTAGGTAATAATTGTAATTACAAAGCAATAAGATCCTTATCTTAAGATACTAACAAGGTTAGGTAAGGTCGGTGTTTTCTATGAATCTTTTTAAGGGTATCTATTATGTTAAGTATGTCACCTATGCACATATTTAATAAGTCAATATTGACTTATTAAATTTGCGAGAACGGGTTGCTGCATTATACGTGATGTAGAGTAACACTGCATTGTACGTGATGTAGAGTAACACTGCATTATACGTGATGTAGAGTAACACTGCATTGTACGTGATGTAGAGTAACACTGCATTATCCGTGATGTAGAGTAACACTGCATTATATGTGATGCAGAGTAACACTGCATTATATGTGATGTAGAGTAACACTGCATTATCCGTGATGTAGAGTAACACTGCATTGTATGTGATGTAGAGTAACACTGCATTATATGTGATGTAGAGTAACACTGCATTGTACGTGATGTAGAGTAACACTGCATTATACATGATGTAGAGTAACACTGCATTATACATGATGTAGAGTAACACTGCATTATACGTGATGTAGAGTAACCCTGCATTATACGTGATGTAGAGTAACTCTGCATTATACGTGATGTAGAGTAACACTGCATTATATGTGATGTAGAGTAACACTGCATTATACGTGATGTAAGAGTAACACTGCATTATAAATGATGTAGAATAATAACACTGCATTACAACAGTATGAAATATTTAATTTTATGTACATACAGTACTGTACAATAATCTTGATCACACATGTTGTACAGTGTATTCAGGAAGATACATACATTACAGTACTACAGTGTATGGTACAGCCCTCTTTTGCATGTCTCGTATTCTGGATTGTTTACCCGATAGCCACCACATATAGTGGCTTAGTCAGGACAAAGAAACCTTAAAGCTGCACAAGACCCACTTGCTGCACCGCACGACTACCCAGTTGCATTTCAGAATTAAGCATGTTGTTTCTTCAATGGCTTCTGCAGGCAAAAGTTTCTTTCTACAAGTTTCCTACTCTTAGTGATGAAATACTTTCTCTTGTCTGTTCTGTTAAAAAACTTTACAAGTTTGAGACTGTGGCTGAATTTTTTTACCATTACATCTTGGAGAAATGGTTAGGATTCTTATCCCCATATCATGTAGTACTCTAAATGTTTGAGAGATTTGACCTGTCATGCTATGAAGAATTTTCAGTGTTCAAGCCTTCAGCCTATCCAAATAATCAGGGGTGTCTTAAGTATGGAATAATTGTTGGAACTGTTGAACTTTTTTCAGCACTGTAATGTCCCCCCCCCTCCTATATATGTGTGTGGTTTCCATGCTTGAATACATTAGTTTAGGTTAAGTTCTATACAAAATCAGTAGTATTGAATTTTAATACAACTTTTTTTATTTATTTAAATATTTATTTATTTATACAGTATGTATATAAAAGAGTTCTTACATTCTTGTACAGCCACTAGCACGCATAGCGTTTCGGGCAAGTCCTTAATCCTGTGTTCCCCGGAATATGACCTGCCAGGTTTAACAACCAGGTACCCATTTTACTGTTGGGTAAACAAAGGCTACAGTTAGGGATTGACACCCAGTAAATCATCCCCGGCCAGGATACGAACCCAGGCCAAAGCACTCGCGAAATGCCAGGCGAGTGTCTTGCCACTACACCACGGAGACTGCTATACAGAGTTAAGCTTGACAAGTCTCTGAGTTAGGAAAGACTATTTTTCTGCTGGTCCCACTTGTATACTTTTTAAAGAATGACTACTAGAATACTATGGTCCTATTTCTTACTCAGATATTAAGTATACATGCAGTATTTTCATCAGAATGATTCAAGTTATGGAACGTTGCTCTCCATGTGATGCTTGAAACTAGTCTTACACTAGAGAGCTATAATGTAACCCACAAACACTGCATAGGGATTCAATTTCTTTCTTTATTATACACCCCATACCAATCCCGTGGGTGATGGTGTAAAGGGTTACAGAGGCACATAATTGGTTCAGGAACTGAGCCCCCTAGTTCGTTTAGCCAAGCAAATAATCTTTTGATGCTAACTACACAATTATTAATGTTATATATATTCATACATATACCCATATATACATATACATATATATACAATCACCTACACAAATACACACATCAATAATCTTTTGTATCACAAGTGATTCAACAAGAGATAATTATGTCAAACATTTCCAAGAGCCAAATTGAACTTTACTAAAGTGTCCTTCATATAAAGGGGTCAAAAACATGGAACACACTCACATAACAACATTCAATTCCTTTAAAAAGGATAAAAAAAAAACAGAGCTGAATGTAATGAAACGTCACTTTCTGGACGAGACCCGAAGACTTTCTGAAACTACTGGACTAATATAGCATATATCAATATGCCTGATATATGGTTAATCAGGTATTCCTTAGAGGCATTTGATGAGTTCTCTCTCTCGAACACTGAGGCCTGCCAGTTATGCTCCTTACGTGTAGCGGGAGTGTGTTGAACTTGAGCCCTCCATGTTCATAAGAGTTCTCCCTCAGTGTACCTATTGCACCTCTGCTTTTCAATGGCAGTATTCTGCATATCCTGCCATGCCTACTGGTTTCATGTGATGTAATCTCCGTGTTCAGATTTGGAACCAATCCCTCTTATATCATTGTTACTCTTTAAACCTAATCTAACCTAAATAAAATGAAGATAGGTTTTGCTTTGTAAATTATAATTATTCTGTGTGAGGTAACAATCATGGTAACATGATAAGGATGCCTCTGGGGATCATTTAGGATACTACTGCCACACTTATTCCAGGTTTACTGGCTACATGGCCCTCAAGCCTCAACAGATAATGTTTTTGGTGCATTTTAATTGATGTATATATTGCTAAAGAGCATATGTCACGCAGATTCCATAAATATGGTTTGATCAACCTCATTGAAGATTCAAAACATTTCCATTTATCGAAAATTCTAACTAATTCCAAAATGTTTAGAATACTTAATATTGCCGAGGTGAGTACTTTTAATGACTAAAACTCTGATGATTAAAACTTTGACCACTATAAGTGCTCTCAGTCTTGAAGAACACTATACACTTCAACAGCAAGACTCCTTGTGTTGGTGGAGGCGATATCTTCCTCATAACTGTACACCAAGGTGAGTATTACCGCCTGACCACACACACACCACCGAGGGTCACCTGGCATCACCTCCTGGAGCAGGAGAGGGAGCCACAAGCCAGCAAGAGGGCTGGCACTGACATTGTTTTGGTGGAGTCCTTGTGTGACAGTTGAAGACCTGTGGGGCGGGCATGCTGAGGGGCGTCTCCCGCCCACACCGCCCTCATTACGCCCTCTCTCGCCCACTCTCCACCACCTCACACCTCATATTCTCCCAAACGTCAAATGCACTCACCGATATATATGATCTTAAAAGAGGTAAATCGATAGCGAAGCCTAATTCATGACAATCAACTCTTCTGCAATATGGCGATTAGTAAACTTGGCAAGGCGCGAGTGGTCGATAGGCGTGTGTGGGCCCCCGCCTCGCCACGCCCTTATATGTCACCCTCTTCACACACTAACATTATTACTAAACCACATTTACGGCTATTTACCTAAGATCATGAATGGTTTAGCGGAAAAGAGTGGAATAATTGAGAATGGGAGGATGAGGAATTACACTCGCCATGACCTGGCGGAACAGCTGATTGCTGGGATGAGTGTGTGGTGACACCTCACACCTCACTCCTCACTCCTCATACCTCACTCCTCATACTTCACTCCTCACACCTCACACCTCAGTGGTGACTCCTTCACAGTGGCGGCCACTACTCACTCGCCGTACACGCCTGCTTAATTGTGAGTTGTGGGCGTGTACTTGAGCCTCTTATATTTAGGATCATTTAGTGGTCTTATTAAGTATCCTTTTGTTATTTGCAAATGTTCTGCAGCCCAGATTTCTGTTTGACGGGTTATATTTGTGTGTGCAGTGGTATGTAAGTGTGGTGAAGGTGAGAGTGTTGGGGGTCAGTGGGCTGCACCACTGCTGCTTTAGACCAATATTTAAAGAGTGGTGGTTTGTTTCTAATAACGAAAAAAATATATATTTTATCACATCTAGAATCCGCTGAACTTGAAAGCCTATTAAAAACTGTGTTCCCAAAAAGTTTGAAAGCAAATGTTTATAAGTTCATAAACAAGTGCCGTAACAAAGAAATGAGACAGTGTATTGCAGCTGTATTATCTTGTAGGGAGCTGCATCACAGAGGAATACCAGGAGTGATACAAAGTAAAGCAAGGAAGAACTTAGGAACACACACACAAGCTCTCGTGGACTAATAAATCAGATGTCAACTATGGGCTCCCTCCACAAACTCCCCGGATACAACAGTATTTAGCATCATTAATTGGAACATGGCATCACTCGGGGAAAAGACTTCCTGATCTCCACCACAGTTTTATTGTATTTTATTCTTGTTATTTATATATACAAGAGTTCTTACATTCTTGTACAACCACTAGTCCACGTAGTGTTTCTGGCAAGTCCTTACTATGTTCCCTGGAATACGACCCCATAAAAATTTTAACTACCAAGTACTGTATCCATTTTACTGTTGAGTTAAACAGAGGCTACAGTTAAGGATTTGCGCCCAGTAAATCCTCCCCGGCCAGGATACGAACCCAGGACAAAGTGCTCGCTAAACGCCAGGCGAGCGTCTTAGCCTCTATACCATGGGGACTGCTTGTGTGTGACGACCGAGCCCATTGATGTTGTCTATAATCTTCAATCCAGTCACTCTTTAATTTTGTATGTTAAGAAGTCCCTTCCTCACCAACCAAGTTGACCGAAGGGCTTCAGTATCATGGTGTGAGGATCTACATGGGGAACTCTGCACTTCAATATCTTGAACCTGTATGCTCCTAGTGATAAGTTTAATTATACTGACCTTCCTATCTGCATTCAGACCGAGTCTACCATCATTATAGGTGATTATTACGCTAGGCATAGCAATATTGGTAATTCGCAGTTTAGTAATCGTAATGGCAACCAACTGTTGTCACGATTAGGTAGTCACGATGAAGCATAGATTTTAGGTGACCTTGAACCAATGCATATCTCTGGAGATATTCTTGATCTCTTATCTCTCTTAACGTTTCCCATACCATTTGCACCTCATCAGTAGTGACATGTGACGTCTGATAAGAGGATAAGAACTTAGGATAGGACTTAAGGAAAGGAGTGGTGCCAAACCACTTGAATGATCGGGGACTGAATGCCAACCGGCAAGAAGGAAGAGTCACCTGAAAGGGTTTATAGGCATTAGGCGACTTTCATTTTCCTGTGAAATATGTTTCTAACGTGTGTTAACACTTTCGCGCTCTCCACAAAGGTCACTCAGCCAACTGAATGTGCGCGCTGTGTTTTTATCGCTTAAGCGTAAAAACAAAAATGTGTATACTCTTTTTACTCTTCTGACCTTAGTTCTCATGCTACGTATTTCATTTTGGTACCAACGTGTTCGCAATAAAATTCTCTAGAAGAACATCAGTAAAATAAGTCACGAAACATATAAGGATACCAGCACCAAATAAATAACTACGTAGATGACTCGCCGTGAGCGCCCATCAGCAACAAAATGTTTTTACTCTTTTGAATGTAATCACCCCCACACTTGTTCTACAGCGTTAATTTTGGTATCAATGGACTCGCAATGAAATTCCCAACACGGTGATATGAATATAAGCGTAGAATAATGATGCAGCCCGCCCGCAAGAGTGTGGGAAGTGGTGAAATTGTTACCCGGTATCGGTGACGGGACGACGCACGGCGCTTTGAAAGTTTATACTTATTTCACTCTCATGACATTAATTTTCTATGTACGTCATTCATTTTTATGTCAATGTGTTCGCAATAGAATGTTCTATGTGCCCATAGGTAAAAAATATCAACAAAGCGTAAGTTAGAATAGCGACAAATATAAAACAACGCTGGAACATATCAGTGAGCGTCAAACACACACGAAATATTTTTACTTTTGTTATGTTTGTCAAGTTTATACTTGTTGCACACAGTTATTTTTGGTTGTATATTGATCGGAATAAAATTCCCTAAACAGACATATGCATATAATACATGATATGGGGAAAGAATTACCAGTATAAACGGCTAAAGTCACCCACCTGCAACCCGTTTGGGACAAAATACCATTTGATCGAAGTTATCCACACCTTTCATGAACTTATTGTACCATGCAGCCTAGTGGTGAGAAAGAGAGCCTCATAGCGCGCAGTTTGAAACAAACCCAAAGTAAATCGGATAAAAATTGAATTTTATACAAATATTTTAAAAGTAGACATAACTTTATGTCCACTATGCGTTTACGTTAGACGAAACCGAACGCGCCGGCGCGTCCAGATAGCGCGAAAGTGTTAATGTGGCGAAGCCTCAAGTAAGGGAGTGATCTTAATATATTGTGAGAAAGACAACTTTTTCAGTAATCTCTTTGTTTTATGCATTCTGTGGGAGGTGTCACGTTAGGGGTTTCTGTTGTTTTTGGCCCTTCTACCTAGGCTAGGACTTTTGTCCTATGTACTCACCTAATTGTACTCACCTAATTGTGCTTGCGGGGGTTGAGCTCTGGCTCTTTGGTCCCGCCTCTCAACCGTCAATCAACTGGTGTACAGATTCCTGGGCCTATTGGGCTCTATCATATCTACATTTGAAACTGTGTATGGAGTCAGCCTCCACCACATCACTTCCTAATGCATTCCATTTACTAACTACTCTGACACTGAAAAAGTACTTTCTAACGTCTCTGTGGCTCATTTGGGTACTCAGCTTCCACCTGTGTCCCCTTGTTCGCGTCCCACCAGTGTTGAATAGTTCATCCTTGTTTACCCGGTCGATTCCCCTGAGGATTTTGTAGGTTGTGATCATGTCCCCCCTTACTCTTCTGTCTTCCAGTGTCGTAAGGTGCATTTCCCGCAGCCTTTCCTCATAACTCGTGCCTCTTAGTTCTGGGACTAGTCTAGTAGCATACCTTTGGACTTTTTCCAGCTTCGTCTTGTGCTTGACAAGGTACGGGCTCCATGCTTGGGCCGCATACTCCAGGATTGGTCTTACATATGTGGTGTACAAGATTCTGAATGATTCCTTACACAGGTTCCTGAACGCCGTTCTGATGTTAGCCAGCCTCGCATATGCCGCAGACGTTATTCTCCTTATGTGGGCTTCAGGAGACAGGTTTGGTGTGATATCAACTCCTAGATCTTTCTCTGTCTGTTTCATTAAGTACTTCATCTCCTATTCTGTATCCTGTGCCTGGCCTCCTGTTTCCACTGCCTAGTTTCATTACTTTGCATTTACTCGGGTTGAACTTCAACAGCCATTTGTTGGACCATTCACTCAGTCTATCTAGGTCATCTTGTAGCTTCCTACTATCATCCTCTGTTTGAATCCTCCTCATAATTTTTGCATCATCAGCAAACATTGAGAGGAACGAATCTATACCCTCTGGGAGATCATTTACATATACCAGAAACAGTATAGGTCCAAGGACTGACCCCTGCGGGACTCCACTTGTGACGTCTCGCCAATCTGAGACCTCACCCCTCACACAGACTCGTTGTCTCCTGTTGCTTAGGTACTCCTCTATCCACCGGAGTACCTTCCCTCTCACTCCAGCCTGCATCTCCAACTTTCGCACTAGCCTCTTGTGTGGCACTGTATCAAAGGCTTTCTGACAATCTAAAAATATGCAGTCTGCCCACCCTTCTCTTTCTTGCCTTATTTTTGTTGCCTGGTCGTAGAATTCAAATAACCCTGTGAGGCAGGACCTGCCATCCCTGAACCCATGTTGATGCTGTGTTACAAAGTTCCTTCGCTCCAGATGCTCCACTAGTTTTTTTCGCACAATCTTCTCCATCAGCTTGCATGGTATGCAGGTTAGGGACACTGGCCTGTAGTTCAGTGCCTCCTGTCTATCCCCTTTCTTGTATATCGGGACTACGTTAGCTGCTTTCCAAATATCTGGCAGTTCCCCTGTTGCCAGTGATTTGTTATATACTATGGAGAGTGGTAGGCACAGTTCTCTTGCTCCTTCCTTTAGAACCCAAGGGGAGATTCCATCTGGGCCTATAGCCTTCGTCACGTCCAACTCTAGTAAACACTTCCTTACTTCCCCACTGGTAATCTCACTCTTCCAGTGGTTCCTGGTTAGCTATTCCCTCACTTACCTCTGGAATTTCTCCTTGCTCTAAGGTGAAGACCTCCTGGAATTTCTTATTCAATTCCTCACACACTTCCTTGTCATTTGTAGTGAATCCTTTCGCCCCTATCCTTAATCTCATAACCTGTTCC